CTAGGGCGACTCGGGGCCCCCGCCCCGGGCCCGCCGGCCTCCCGTTAGCCGCGCCGCCTTCCCTCCTGCAGGGACACTTCCGGCGTCTCGAGGCCATTTTACCTCCTCCCCGGTCCCCGGGGCCCGGTGTGAGGTGAGCGTCCCGCGGGCGGGCGAGACGGGAGTCCGCCCCCTCGGTGTGCGTCCGGTCCCCGCCTCGGAGTCGCCCCTCCCGCCCCGCGGCGGGACCCCGGGGCTGGCGAGTTCAGCAAGTTAGCGGCGGAGGAAAGCCGCATTCATTGACCACATTTCACGTCGCGCAGGAGCTGGCGACTGCAGCTGCGCTCGCCCAGAGACTTCCATTTTTAAATGAGCGGTGCGTTCCGAGTTAAAAGGCGACTTTCTACTGAATTACGGACAGGTTTTCGTGAAATCTTAAAAGTCTCACCTTGGGTTCTTGTAAGGCTGCCAGTTAAAGTTTTTTTCTTAAATCATGTCTTTCTTTGTGGGGAACCCAAGTCCAAGTTCTTGTGTTGGTGAAGTCAACTCGATGTTCGATCCCAAACGACTGTGTTAAAATTCTAAGTAACTGTGTCTATATAGTGAAAACCGGTTCTTTTTCCCGTGGCAGAAAAATCTTTCCCTGAGCATTTATTTATAGTCGTGAATTGTCGGTCTCGTTTCCCATCTCCTAGCGCTGAGTGAATTCCGCGCTGGCGGGAGGTGGGAGCCCGCTCCGCACCCCAGCCCTGTGATGTGGGTGTGAGCTTAACAATCGCGTTTGTGGAGCGCGTGAGTTTCACAGCCCCTCACAGTCTCGTGTGTGTGTGGTATGGAACCCCCCGAACATACAGGGAGTGGGCGAAAGGAGAGTTACAGTTCACATCTAAAATTATCCAATGATTACTAAAAAAGCAAGAATAAACACTGTTTCCCGTGCTCACAATTGTAAACCTACTTTTGCCCCCCTCTGTATACTTAGTAGCAGTCTTGATCATTTTCATAAATTGTATATTATGTTGCTCCTGGAAGAAAGTTTTTTTCTTGCTCTTAAAGTTTTATGTTGGTGGGTCATTTAGCAAAACAAGACCTAGCTACTATCTCCCACTAATTTGCCTCTTAAGTAATTTTCTGTTACTAAACATCAGAAGGAAAACTTTCATATGTCCATAGTAGTATGTTGGCTGTTAAGGTGGTGAATCAGGCTAGAATTCAATGTTCTAAATAAATGTTCTCCTTCTTGAAAATATACGTGGTGAAATTTAGTTTTTTTAAAATGCACATTAAAATTATCTTTTACGTCAATGTTAGTATTTTACTTGAAAAATCTTTTTTTGGGGGGTATAGCACTTAAAGCATTGAGATTTGCCCCACTTTGTGAGGCAGGCAAAATTGCTGTTCCCTTTTTGCTGATTTGGAGACTGTAGCCCAGAGAATTAAGTGACTTGCTTAGGATCACAAGACTTAGAAGGTACAAGAGTCAGGTTGAGGTGGTCTTCCAATTCCTAACTTGTACCCTTTCTACTACAGTGCCAAGGCTGGTACAGTGTTGGATTATTAGTTTGTTGTGTTTAGTTATGAGTTTAGCCAGGTACATGCTTACTGAAGTTGTGTTGGCTGCTGCTTGCCTCTCAGTTTCAAGAAAACTGAGTTGCATAACTTAGGATCACAATGCTAAGAGCTGGGAAGTACTGGGGTTTGGGATGCTAGGCACCTAGCCAACCAAAACTGAGCCTCTAGATCATAGGCTGTTTTTCAATATTAAGGCATCAAGAGTGGATGGTGGTTCTGACATTCTAAGCTTGAGCTGTATTATCTTTTTGAATTATCCACATGAATAACTGGAACCGTTACATAATTTTAAAATTACGTTTAACCGGTTTTCTTAAGTGTGCTAAAATGTAACCAAATTGGCCAACTTTGAATTTTATGTATTTTGCTTTTCTGCATTTTCTACTTTAGCTATAAGCTGCTTGCTCATTGTTTAGGATGGGGGAGAGGGAGAATTACCCATCTCCATTAGTTACCGACTTTTGTCATATGGTCATCTGGAAAATGGGGATTAACTTTGAAAAGTTGTGATTATTAAATAGGTGGTTTATAGCACTGGACACATACTCATTTTTTTCCTTCAAGGTTCAGCTTCAAATGATATTTCAGTCATTCCATCTTTCTGGTACATGAATAGATTGATTGTACTAAGAAGCTGGAATGTCTATTGTCTTTATGACTGTAGAATTCACTTTAGATGGTTGTTGTGCCTGTCATTTGTGCCCCCCAAAAATTGCCTTGGGAAATAATAAATTTCGTAGCACATTTGTGCACAGTGGAAGTCAAACTTGAGAACCAGGTTCTATTTTGACTAAGTTGTTGAATGTTTATGCTTTTAAATTTTAAAACTGTTTTAATTTGCCTTTTGCCAGCCTGCCCATTTAACTGTTGTGCAATATCACAGACTCTCAAGGGAAGATTGACTTATCATCAGCTAAAGATAAGGGAGGAGTTTCTTTTTTCTTTTTTTCTTTTTTTTGAATATATCTGTATTGATTTCAGAAGAGAGGAAGAGAGAGGGAGAGAGTTGAAACATCACTGATGAGAGTCGTCATTGATTGGCTGCCTCCTACATGCCCCCAACACCGGATCAAGCCTGCAACCCCAGGCATGTGCCCTGACCGGGAATCGGACCACCAATCTCCTGGATCCTAGGTCAGATCCTAGGTTTATGCCCAACTGCTGAGCCATGCCTGGCTGGGCAGGGAGGAGTTTCTTTCTAAATTGCTTTGAATTCCCATAACTTGTGGAATGACCTGTGATTGTGATAATTGACCTGTGAAATTTGAAGATTTATACAAAACCTGTATTTATTCTTGACTTGTATTACAAATTTAGAAATTTTTTATAAAGAAAATAGAAATATCCTTTAAGCAGTGTGTTATTAAAATCTACCCAGCATCAAACTTTAAAAGGAAAGAGAATGTAAGCCAGTGTTAGAAATTAGTTGCTCATTGTTTCGAATTCTAAAAACTGGAGATCACCAAGCATTCTACAATAAGGCTTAGAAACAAATATTGTTATTCTCAACCTGTTTTTGTTGATGGGGAGGAAACTAATAATTAAATGCTTACTTTGTGCCAGTCACCATGCTAAAGTGTAATGTTTATCTTAAAAAATAGTACAATAATTTTGAGCCTTGGTGGTGGTGGTGGTAATCCTT